ATTTTCATTTAGAACTTTTAAAAAGCACCAGATAGTCCAGGTGCCACTATACAAATATAGCAACACTAAGTTTGGGCTTATCCTTGTTGTTTGCACCACCCTGTCATTATGTTCAGTGTTTTAGAAAACAGGGGAGAAGACAGTTGCTGTCTTAATTTACTGTCAAGTAGCGCAAGAGAGGCTAGTCAGCCTTCCCTGATTAAAATCTATGCAGCAAATTTTTTTTTTAATATAAATTATGTTAAGGCAATGAAAACTTAGACTCTGTGTCAAGGCTGCGTCTCGGTTTCCAAGGGAAAAATGGGAGCCATGCTCCAAGTAGAGGATACAGCATCACAATTTTCTGGTTTATCAACAAGCTTCTACTTTGCTTAGTAAATGTGTTTTTAAATATGCTTAATCTAAAATATGTTTTGGGAAAACCTCTTGAGAAAAATAAGTCAGTGTGATGTATTGGATTAAAGCCTTGTATTTGAGTCGAGGCTACAAGTCTTTTACTATGACATATTTTTCCTTGTTTGTGACGGCTTTCTTCAATTCAGATGTAAATTATCTCCAAGTTTATTCAACTAAGCCCAATCTAATTGCATATATTTCTATAAAGTAACTCTACTTTTGTTTGTTGCTCAAGTTGAGCGTATTATCTGTGTAACCCAGAGATATTTCAATAGGTAGAAAGGATTCACTGTATTTGTTTGTGTGTCTCTCTGAAAATATAGTTTTTTAAACAGATCTGGTACTTTACCAGGTGTGCCTTTAAGTGATTTCTATTGCATTTATACTTTAGGAGGATTAGAAAAGAGAGTAAAAGAACTCTTTGTCCGTTAGATTCATTAAATGTATTCATGCGTGTGTAAGTGGTATAGAGGCTGTGCTGCTCGGGAATCAGATCCTTGTCCTAGGGTGGAGAGAAAGGTGAAGGGTGTGATATTTACTGCTTGTGTAAGTGTCATAATAATTGTGTATTTGATTCTTTATTTTTAAATTACCTTCCTGGGCATTAAGCCATTTTTTTGTGTTTATCTTTTCCCCGCAGAGTTAAGGGAGGGTAAGGAGCCACACCTTGTAAGTGGTAAAAGTACAGCTGCTCAGGATGTGAGTGTGTAATAGAACAGATAGGTCAGCAAAGGTGAAGGCAGAAATAACTCACATGTTATTCTAGAAGGAAAAAGACTTTGCTATAAAAATGTATTAAAATGCTGTTTAAACTAGCATTAGTTTTCATTTTTGGTTTATCTAAAAACTCAATTAATTTACTCAGAATGAAGTAAATGAAGTGTAAGCAGCTACTACATTCTTATAGGAGGAGTATAAGAGTTAACATCACTACCTTGTGCCTTGCAGAGTCATAAATAATTTGAACTTCTGAGTGGTACAGAAGTACTTCAGCTCGCTAGTGCTTACTTGGAATAATCACCACAGAATTCACTTAAACAAATACGTAGATGATAACCTCTCTGGCACCAAACCAACATTGGTTGTGTAACAAGGCTCTTTAAAAGACAGAGCCATAGCTCCAGTGCACCAAAACCTAAGGTCCCATAAAACTGAATCCATAGTTGGAATAAAAGTTTTGTTTATCAGTTTGAACCTATTTCAGTGAAAGCAGCTCAATGGCAAGATGTAATGTGGCAGAAATGAAGTCCTGTGGCACCTCTGGTCATGTTGCTGGAGGGAGTATTCGCTGAAGGGAGGGGAGTGTTCAGGTTTGCACAGAAAGCCATTTGCCTAAAGATAAAATCTCCTGGGGCACTCTCTGTGTTGAGGGCGTTGGGGCAGCCCTGAATGCACCTGCATGGGATTGTACAGGGTTCTGTGAGCTTGAAGGTCAGTAATTTTGCTGTCACTTGTGTTACACTCTCTGCTTCTGGACACTGAGTCCCTCCTCTGCCACCCTCCTCACCAGACAAACTTGGAACGCTTTACAGTCTCTTTTCAAGGGGCTTTAGTTCATGTTCCATTATAATATAAAGTATTAGGCATTAGCAAACCCATAAAAGATCTGAAAAATACATTCAGCTGGTTTCACAGTGTGATGCATGAGGTGACTCCTAGAGTGTGTGCTTATGCCTGGTAGAAAGTCAGTTATTATAGGACTTGAAGATACAGATTAAAATGTACCTTCAGCATTTGTTAATGCTTTAATTAATGCTGAAAGTGAATTTTGAACCTTAATCGAGAAAGTGTTCATTCTGCCACATAGGTGGAAGAGATGAAATCAGACTCAATATCTAAGCATACTTCAATGGTTTTCTGGGTAATTTCTAACAACATAGAATAAATCTTCAACTAATAAAGGTGTAGGGCTTTGGGACAGTGTAACTTATGTGCAGGGCTGTTTTGGAAAGAGCATCATGCAATGGCATCAGAGCCAAAGGATATCAGCTCTGTGGGCTCCAGAATTTATACTAATGGTAATGAAACAAGGCACACAGATACACATTTAAAGGCATTCTATACTTTCCATTTTTAAATAATGCACACAAACTTAAGTGAATGAGATTCAGTAGAACACTGCACTGAACACATATTTGCAGGCTGCAGGTCTTTCCTTTGATCTCTATTATAGATCATTCTTTGGTTTCTAATTCTGATTTAAAATACTCTAAGTTAGAATGCATCTTAGGTCTTACACTTCATATATTTACAAGAGAAGCCATTTCTTTTGCTAGGAGGTGTGTTCACTAATAAGGCTTCTATTCTTTGTAGTAAACAACATATTTACAAGCCACAAATAACAAAGTAGAAGCTGCAGAAGGGTTGTGGTGTGATAATTAAGTACAATGGCGACCCATATGAACAGAAAATGCCAAGGAGCTAAAACAAAGCAACAACAGCTTTGTTTGTTGACAGATGTAGGAGCCATATTGTTAGTTAATTGGGTAATGGTGTAAACATTTGCAAACTCTGCTGTCCCTCAGTGAATTAAGCAGCACAGTGAAATTATGGTGAAAAGCTGCACAGTCCTTGTGCTGCAGGTACTCCAGAAGGCTCCCAGGACCCTTCTCACTGAGGAAGGAACATCCTGTGTTGTTGTTATTTAAGACACTTGAAGTTTGCAAACCTTAGCCTAGAACATGTATCTTGAATTATGCTCAAGTGAATAACACATTTCCATCTGGTCACAGCCTGGAAGGTTGTGTTCAGTGCCCAGGCATACTCTGGAGATTTTTTTTCCGAGTGCAAAAGAGACATGTTATGACTTTCTTGCCTTTTTTTGCAAAATGAAAAAAGCAAATTAAAAACCCCAACAAAATGGTTGCAGGATTTGAAAACAGAGATGTGTGAATTAATACGGGCTTGTACTGAAAAGAGGGAAAATTTCTTCTCTCAGGTGCCCAATGCCTCAGAAGCTGTGAATTGCACAGACCCCTCTTTACCTCACTCCCTGCTCAGTAACGGACTGTAGCAGAATACCAAAACATTAAAAAATGCTACAAGATACTTAATTACCATACTTCTGTAATCACAAACTTAAATGCACTACTTTGGCTGTTTTTTACATAACAGGTTTGCTTTCGTAGATAATAACCTTTCAATAATTCAAGCAGCATCTGTGCAGGAATGCATAATTGGACTGTAGATAATAGGAATCTAAAATTGACTCTGGTTTTTGTAAATTATTTTTCTCCTCAGACATTTAGCAGTAGCTCACCATGGTACATGAAGTTTAAGAAAATACGTTCCTGCTTTGGGAATAAAAATAATGCATCTGTTTGGGTTTTGGGTTTGGTTTGGGTTTTTTTATTATTTCATTTTAAAAAAAATCTGCAGTCAGATGAAATTACACTGATTTTGATGGTCTTAGGAAGTGATAAGCCTTGAATGTTTGTTTAAATAGTATTTTTCCCTAATTATTCAGTAAGACAATAGAAATGCAAATATATTTCAAGTTTGCCTGATTTAGCTGGGAGGAGAGAATGAGAAGTTACCTATTTGTTAATAGGTAAACAAATAACAAATGTTACCTATTTGTTAATAGGTAACAGGATTAGTAAATTAGGCTTTTTAGAAAATTACACAAACATTTCTTAGTAATTCATAGCATTCCTAACCCTAACCCTTCATGTTTTCTCAAAATATTTTTAGAAAGCAGTGACATGTTGTGATCATAGATGAAACAAATTTAACTTTAGAAAAAATGCTTATTGGCATTGCATCTGCTTTTATACCTATGGCATAAGGCTGATAATCGATTATTCACAAGCAGACTTCTGATAACTGGTGTGCTCACACAAGAAAATAAACCAAAACAGAATTACCAGGGAAAATAAGTTTAAAAATGGAAGGGAAATATTTCAGAAAATGGTTCATCTTTCTCCATGAAGCTTTGCGGTATTCTGAAGGATGTCCCAGCATTGGCTTGTAAACTTGAATGTCAGGACACTGGGACACTTGTTGTCAATAATTTGTCTGTATAAGTAAATATATTGTGTAATAACCACACAATTAAACAGTTTTATCCCAGCCTGGGTGTCTGGAAAAGCATTGAAGTGAATGAAAGCTGGGTGTTCCACCGCGTGACTTGGAGCAAGAAAGGGAGAAGGAAAGTAAAGTTTCCCTTTTCAATGGAGAGATCCTGTTGGGTTGGCTATGCTGCTTGCACCATCAGTTTGACTGAAATTTAGGGATGATTATCTAGGAGTGCAGTTTTATTTTTCATTTCAACTCACGTGTTCTAGTATACCTTCCAAATGTTCTTAACTTTGACAAAAATAGATTAATGCAAAAGTTTATAGTAGAGAGCCAGACCTTCTTGGAATTAATGTCAGGGATTCTGGTTTTTTATTATTCTGTTTGTTGTTATTACAAAAGAATACTTGTAACAACAACAGAAAACACAATATATATTTCTTGATCTGCATCCTGGAAAATAATACTCACTGCTTCAGTTGTCACTGATGGAGGGACTCAAAAATCTTCCCAATAAAAGTCTGCACTGTGAAGATAAACAGTCCAAAAGTCTACTCACACATATCTTTGTGTTCATGTGTTTACAGGTGACCCAGCTGGATCCAAATAAATCATTACTGGAGGTAAAACTGTATCCTCAAGAAACCCTTTTCCTAGAGGCAAAAGAATAGATCAAACAAGATTGTAGGACTAATCATCCTTTGATAAGCCAGAGGCACGGCATCGAGAGGAAGACTTCTCTGAGCACCACCTTGTACTGACATCCAGCTCAATTCCATGTCACAAGTTTGCCTCTTGCAAGAATCCTGAAAAATTGAAAAAAAAAAAAAACAAAAATAGCTACTTAAAGTTTCACATACATGAGTATATGTTTCCAACCTCATTTAAATGAGCAGAGGATAAAGTTCTGCTATGAACACTGAACATTATGATTCTGTTGCTCACTTATCATCCAGCTTTTGTTATAATTAATGCACTGTTAAAATGTGAGTGATTGTTAAGTAGCATTTTTACTCCTCAAATGCCCCTTTTTCACCAAGAAATCTTGGACATTTCTGCCTGTACTTTTGACACTAGAATGCTGTATATTTGATATCTCACTGAGCCAGTGCTCTCATATATATGCATTTTATTTCTGTGTTTGAATTTCTACTTTGTCAACTAATTTAAAAAGGCAGAAAAAAATTAATGGGACATTCTCAGCCATGGAAATTTAACAGTATTATAGTAGAAAGCATATAATTTTTGTTAGTACTTTCTGACTTCTTTGATAAGATGTAAGGTTTTGTTTGGAGAATATAGTTTGACATATATGCGAGATATTTATTTACTGGTTCTGCTTTGGGTCTCAGTTCCAATTCAGTTTAGGAAGTATTTTCCATTACATTGCAGTGTGAAACTGCTTATTGCATGATGTGAATATTTAAATAACATTAGACATGGCCAGTACCAGAAACCTGGTATCTTGCCAACACTTCAGGAATCAGCTGATATTGAATATCAGCTGTTAAAAACCTTTCAAATACCAGATACAAAAGTTCTTTATTTCTCCTTGTGAAAGAAAGGGCAGTTCCCATTCTAGCAGTTTTTCTTCATTCTGGCACTTGCTTGTCTCCTATTACTCTGCTGGTTTAAATCACCTTGTTTGGTTCATCAAACAATGGGTATTTTAAGGAGTGGTGTAATAAGAAATCTGCCTTATTGTTGCACACTTTGGACATATTAACAATACATTATTAATCCCATCTCAAATTAAAGAAATCGTAGTTCTCTTGTCTGAAATGTATGCACCAGCTACCTGCTACCTGACATGGAAAAAATCTGGTACTCTAAATTTCTCAACCATAGAATGAGCATACTGAGGCTAAGACCATAACGTGCAGTTGATGCCAAACCTGCATCAAAACTGGTTTATTTGGGGGTTTTTCTTCTCCTTTTGTTTTTTTTTTTTTTTCCTTTTTCCCCCCCTTTTTTTGTTTGTTTTTCTTTTATCTTGGGGCTTGCAGGACAGTGCACAGTAGCACTACAGGATCATCATCTGCTAAACTGTTTTTTTTTTTTTTCATTTAAAGCCTGGCACATTGTTTTCCATCTATGTTTATACGTAACTCATAGTGTTTATTGTAGCTGAATGAGTTCTGATTTGAAAATTTTATACTAAGCTAAAACCAGTTGCACACATCTTTTAGTCTTTCTTTTTCTCTTTGGAAGGATGGTGATATAAAATTAAATGTATGCCTATTATTAAGATGTTAGTGATGCTGATATATTGTTACCTTTACCAAAAATGCGAATTTCTGAGCGGGCAAAGCCTTATTCTACCTTTTATAATTCTGTAATTAGTGAGTGCTACACCAGACACTTTTAGAAGTGAAGTATCTATGACAAACAAAAGGTTTAGAAGTGTAAGCAAATCCTAATAATTTGCAGTTCACAAATAAAAGAATTCCTAGCCAGTAGAATGATAAATGTATGTGTAATGGAAAGCTGAATGCAGACGCTTCATCCTGAACTTTCGTTTTCTTACCCCAAAAAAAAAAATTCCACTGCCTTTATTAAATAAGAAATTAACATGGGTTGCAAATTGGGGTGATGCTGTTTCTACAAACAATCACAGTAAACATACAGCAGGATTTTAAAGTGATGCATATCTTCTCTTTTTTTTTTTCCTTCTAAGCTGGCTGTTGAGGAAAGGAGTTGCTGAAATAGTGATTCACGAAGCAAAGCGACCTTGCAGCTAACTTGTTTATATTAATCTGTTCTGTTTAATTTCTGTTTGATCTCATCAGGCTGTTTTCTCTCACTCAACTTGATTTCTGTATTTTGACTATATATTCTTTACTTTGATACTAGTTTTATAAAGTTATTAAATGTGGCTTGAATATTTGTTGAACTTGTTGAAGTCAGTGCTCCCAGGGTTGTTTGGCTTTTTTTTTTTTCTTCTAAACTCCATTATTTTTTCCCTCATTTTGTTCATATTGCAAAATACACTGTCATTATCAAAATGTTCTAGTGATAATTAACTGGAAGTGTTCAAAGTGGTGGCATTACTTCCCTCTGATATAAAGATTTTGAGATCAGTATACAGGGATCATTCTGCCACAGCGTAAACAAGTGTATCGCTCTTTAAATAAAACGTTCATGATTTTGGTCCTTAAATACTTTGGGCCTGATTTCAAGAAGCAACCATGTCGAGTCACCTTTCTGAATCACACCATCAGCATAAACCAATCCCTGTGTAGAAATATTAATATTCTATGCCATCATTTTCTGCTCTCCTGGTATTCACTTCACACGCTCTGCTGGCATGGATAATCCTCTAGTCATTCGAATTTTGTAATTCAGTATTACCCTAGAACTGTAACACCGTTGCTACAGAGCACATCCCTGATTCTGCCTTTTTATCTTCAGGTTCTTCACATTAATGGATTACCATTAAGGTGATTAATGCATTAGTTTTAAGTCTTAGGGAATTACTGTTGCTGAAAGGAAATCTGTGCGATGCGTCCGCTCCCGTGGCTCGTGGGGTGAAGGTGGGGCACGCTCTGGTTTTGGGAGAAACTTTCTGCCTGTTGACAGTGGTGTTTGAAATCGTTGTTAGAGACCATGCAGAACACAGTGTTTGCTCTGTCCTCTCTACGTGTGCACCCTTCAGCTCAGTGGCAGTGCTGAGGATGTTTCTGATGGAGCTGTGCTGGGGGGTCTGTCTGTCCTTTTTAATGTAGCAGAAGAGGACTTTGGCTTTCATAAACTGTACCTACTCAGTGACATTAGAAACTTAAAATAAATTTTCAATTGCAGCAATATTTCTACTAAACAGTTATATGATTTCACTCTTCCTTGTGTAGGGAAAAATCAAATCACAATATCCCAGTCACAGGACTGAAATGCTTCATTATACAGGCCTTGTGTCCAGCCTCCCTAAAAATGCATGAGAAGATTTCAGTGCCTTAGAACAGCTTCCACAGCAGGCACAAAGCACGTGAGTGGGTGTCTCTACACAAGGAGAGTCACTACCAGGCAGAACCAGAGCCTGCTTGGAGCTCTCAGTCAGAAATGCTGAGGGTGGAGATGTCCTGTGTGTGCCATTCCTCTTTCTTCTGCCCTGCTTCTGGGGGCTCTCAGCTCTTTCCACCATTTGACAAAGCAGAGGATGCATTTTTATTTGGAAACAGTGATGGTGGCCTCCTCCAGAGAATTTTCACTGATTTTGATTCACACTTTGGTTTTTCCAGTATTGTGAGGGCCTAAGGAGAGACAAGTTTCTATGCTGGACATTCCCTAGTCTGCTTCAACACCACCATAGCACAGCTACTTTTAATGTGTGTGTTGCCCACTAGCAAAGCTGTTTGACTGCCAAAATACAGAATTCCTTTAAGGTCCTTGAGAAGGAGGGTGAAAATCATTCCTAAGGCTGGCAGCTGTGTGTGCTTGCCTGCGGTGAGGAAACCCAGCCCTTGACAATGGATGTTCATTGCAGCCATTGGTCTTTCTGAACAAGAGAGCTGAAACTGGATGTTGATTCTGCACCTGAGTTTAGTTTTATTACTCTGTTTGTATAAAAGAGAAGCAACTGCTGTAGCCTTAATTTTTTTTTTCTGGATGGGTCATTACCATATCAAATTACTGTATATTGTGTGTACACAGCATGAGAGATTGTTCTCTACCTGAAACCATTCCCCCAACAGATGACAAAGGTGGAGAAATACCAAGTTTAGCACTAAATGTGTCAGGATCCAGACAGTTTTATACTCAATTTAGTCTGATATAGATGTATACTTCTGCCAGCAGAGCCATCTCTGCCCCACCTTGCACTGGAACCAGGCAAACTAATTAAAAAGTGACCATTTTTTTTTCCTGGAGCAGTTTTGAGGCTGATGCAGCTCACTGGTGGGAGTCAGTGAAGATGAGAGGAAGAGAAAGGCAAGGCTGCTCCTCCTGACAGCACTGCAGATGTATATAGGATGAATTTGGTCAGGCTCCTTGAAATATTTTTTAAATATCTTATTACTACCTTTGCATTTTACATCCTTTTTCTTTTAGGGGTATTTTTATTATTATTTCAAGCATATTTATTGCTATAAAGGTTTGGCTGTCTAAAATTTCCTTAAGTCTTGTCAAAGTCAGCATCCCAGAATTCAGGAAATGAGAAGGCAGATGAAATGTCCCTTGAGTGTGTGCAGTGAAGGCAAGGCTCGCTCCAGATCCAACTCTTGGGAGTCACTCCTGGCCCTAAAAGCACCCTAAAAGTTTCAAAGGGTTTTAATGTCTCATTAGATAGCAGAGAATCCACTCCTTAGCCAGGGCTTTCCTCTGTGGATTCTTCTGTGTAATAAAGACTGAAGTCACACTGCTGCCTTAATATAATTCAATTAAAATGTCACTCAACTGCTGGTTAGAGGAGGAGGTTTCATTACTTCCTGTGATCACAGAAGTGCTGGTTAACAGAATTGTTATTTTGTGCTTAGTACCAGTGAGTTTCCTTTCCTTTGTGGAATCCAGTGTTCCCCAAGATTCCACAGCTCATGGCTGTTCCCTTTCCATCCACTCACCTTGAGTGGGTTTGTGTTATTTATTGGTAGCAGCTGCTCACTACTGATCCCTTTCTCCAGGTACTGGTGTCTGAGTACCCTGAATAGCACAGGTTCCCTCACAGGTTCTTGGGGACATGGCTGGAGTCCTCTCACTGTGACAATTTGTTGATTTCTGCTTCCAGCCATCAAATCTCCGATAATGTTACTTTTTTTTTTTTTTTTTTAAACTCAAGAAAGTATGTTTCCTCTGTAGTGAACACCACTAAATTACTAGCTTAGTTGTTCCTATTTTTAATAAAAGGAGTCTTTTACACCATAAAAATATCTTCTGGCAGGTTTCCTATTCCACATATTTTTAATAATCCTTTACATTTTTTGGTAGTTGTTCCTTGCAGTGTGTCAGTTGTTTAATTCAGGATTTGTATCTTCCAAAAGTTAAATTTCTACGGATTTTTCTGATTTTCTTTTTAGTTTCCTACTTTGAGTCAGTCTTCCTATTACACCCTTGAATGTGCTGGTTCACATGACCCAACTGCTTCATGTGGGCATTCTGTTGTCTTTTTAGGTCAGATACATGTGTATTCTGAGGATCTAAGATAGTGTCTTCAAAAAGTTTGGTTTCAATCTTAGTCTTTTCCCGTGACTTTAATTTCTTTTTGTTATCTTTTTTTTTATGCAGATTTCTTCAAAAAGGGTAGTGCTATTTGGGTGATTTTAAAGAATTATTATCATTTTGTAAAGTAGTGAATATAAGTATGTTTTCATTCACCTAGAAATGTAGTTTCTAACATTTTATTTGCCTCTATGCTTTATTTAATCTCTGTCACAGTCCCCGTTAGAGTGAGTTCCTATCACTGATAAGTGTTTTATACCTTGTAATTATGGCATCCTTCTCATGATCTTGCCTTTTCTGAATTTCCAGGTAGACCTCATTTGTTGTCATCTGAAAACCCCCGTTCTGTTGCAGCCATTTTAGGAGCTTAAAAATTATTCTGATGTGTACTTTAGGAATATTTTTCATTTTTTGTAGGCCTGTTTATGTGTCCTAGTTAATTAAGACTGATGAGTAAGGGAAAGCATTTCCAAACTAGTGGCAATGGAGAAGGAATTTTTTCAATGACAGCTCTAAACTCGCTGATGCAGAAGAACAAAATAATTTATAATTTTGTGGATGTGATGAAGAAAAAAGGGGGGAGATAATTTTAGAACCTGCGATTTGCAGAGAGCGCTCCGTTGCTGAAATACACTTCTTCAAGGTTTAGACGAAGGTG